GCAATGTTTGCATGTACAACCATCTCTAAAGACACACAAAAGCTTGAAAATGAAAAGGAGTGGCAACTATAAGCTGCTAGCCCCACAAAAACTGATTATATGAAACTGCTGTAGTGCTGTAATCTAGTTAGACTCTGATCAAAGCATTTTTCTAGAAATGATGTCACCTAATCTTAGCTCTTACTGTAAACATGACCATTTAAAGCAGTTAAATTGGGCCCAGAATGGCAAATATGAATGTTAAAACTGACCTCACTCTATAGAAATCGCTCTGAGTTACATAGTGGGTAATTCCCAACTCACATAAAGGTCTTTCTCAGATGGCATCACACTTTCTGTCTCTGCTCATCTTCTGTCTGCCCATTTACCACACATTTGAGCAGTCCTGGTTTTAGAGGGTGGGCGGCTGGCGGTGCCCTCTGACCTCATCCTGTCCGTCCAGCTCGAAGGCTCGACATTGTTAGCCTCTTTCCTAAACTCGGCACACAATCGATGCAGTCTTTAAATCAGAGCGGAGCGGTTTTTTTTCCCACACACTGCAGTGATCATAAATGCCACATACAGCATCCCCCATCACCCCTCCCACGACTGACGACCCGACTGACTTCTCCTTTGTGGTTCTGGAAACAATCTGGACAGAATTTGATAAGCAACTGATAAGAAAGCTATGGAGCACGAGGACAGGCAGACAGAAATAACATGATGATAAAATGATTTTTAAAATAAGAAAAGATAACTTTTAAGGAAGCCCACAAGAGACAAAATAACACAACAAATCACATGTTTTTCATTTATCTGAAGTGTTTTGAACACATTCTGTAAAATTGCACTCTGCCATTATACAGTGGACAAGAATGTAATTACCTGTAATGTGTGTGTTAAACTGTCTCAAACTGCAAAATCTTAGTTTAAAATGTTACCATTAACTATTTAGAGTCAATTCTGTCTGTCAGCAAACTGTCATTAACCACTGAACTAATTTTAGTGGAACTTCCAGGAAATAATCACTTGTACACTTACAACTGGTTAATCTTTGGAGTTAAACCAATGTATGATGACCAACACAGCTAATAAACACAAAAATAGCTACAATTCAAGCAGTTTTACAGATAAAACTAAAATAGGGTAATTTAGTAGGTGAGAGTCAGCCCCAACACATACACTATAATGCTACAAGTATTTGCTCATCCATCCAAACGACTGTGCACCAGTGCACAAAGCAAGGTCCATAAAGACATGGATGGCAGAGTCTGTGCAGGTCAGTCAACTTCATCCACACCAAAGTCCTGATCTCAACCTGATAGAACACCTTTGGGATGAATTAGAGGGGAAACTGAGAGCCAGGCCTTCTGTCCAAAATCAGTATGTGACCTCACAAATGCTCTTCTGGAAGAATGGTCAAAAATCCCCCAAAACACTCCTAAACTTTGTGGACAGCCTTCCAGAAGAATTGAAGCTGTTCTAGCTGCAGAGGGTGGACCAACGTCATATTGAACCCTGGATTAGGAATGGGATGTCACTTAAACTCATATGTGAGTCGAGGCAGGTGAGCCAATACTTTTGGCAATATAGTGTAATTCGAGCACTAATACTGTGCAGTATCTTGTAATGTTGTTTGAGATTGAGCATAACTGGGCATGGTGCCGAAATTCAGTATTTTATTAGAACCAGTGCCACGTGACTGATTTTGTCTGGATCGATAAGCTCCAGCCTTAACAGTCAGTAACAGTACCAGAGTAGTGGCATGACAAGTGTAGACACAGTGCATGATGCATTGTTTTGCATTTATATTTGCATTTGGATGCATTTAGTTAACATAGACATGTCTTGGCTAGAAGCTGGTTAAAACATTTCTATGTCCAAGACAGTTAAAATTACAAGTAGTTGAAGATAAACCTATGAAAGTGAAAAAAATGTTTGTTTAAAATTTTGGCAAGTCAGAGATGTCAAAATAACATTTGTGTGAAATAGAAGGCAGAATGTGTTCTTTTTGTTTTTGTTGTCGTTTAATTATCACTACTTTTATTACATAGGGTTCTGTATTTTGTAATCATGATTAAATGCAGCAAAATAAGCTAAATCAAAGGTAACAGATCTTTGTAAAACTTGGTTTATTTATTTAATTGTTGCTGGATGTTCGGCTCCTGTGCCGTTGGTCTGCATTAATTGTGGCCACCGGATCAGTTCAGTTGAATAGCCCTGGTATAGATGGTAATGTTACTGCGTCAATACTTTACTGCCAGCGCCTCATTTTGCTCCAAAGATAAAATGCTGCACCGAAGCATCCTGTCAGAGGCAGGTAAACAGTGAACTAAACAAGTATGTCAGATTATTATTTAATCGGCTCTGAGGGAACAATTTCAGAATCAACATGCTAAAAAGTAGCAAGTACCTCTTTTACTGTGCATGTGGGTCACATAAGAGATGTGGAGAATTCACACTGGAGTCTGATGGAGATCGTATTTGAAATATAACGTAGTCGTCTTCACAAATACATCAGATTTAAAAAAAAATTCAGAATTGCACTGTTGTACCTACTAAATATTTTTATATAGAAAAGTTAGCAGTATTTGTTTTCTGCAACTTTATTTTTTATTTGGGGTTGCAAATGTTAAAGTTAATTTGATATGTTTTGTGTTCTATATTGTCCTAAAATAAAAGCTTTGCATATTTGGTTTGTTCTGGTTAAAATATCGGATCAATAAGCAATACCGATAAGTTGTATCGATAACACCTTGACGATACATCTCCCTACAAATAACTATTTTTTAAAGATGTGGCCAGAACAGCTTTAATTCAGATTTTTTAATATGCACTGATAGTTTAAAAGCCTGGCACAAATGGTGACGAGTAATTCATGTTCCTTCATGGAATGCTAGACTTTTAACTTAACTTGCTTCATTACAAAAACCTCATGTACAAAGTAGAAATATTTTTCTTGGTGCAAATTAACTAAACTGGTGTGTAGTAAACTAAAATCCATGTGTGATGTTCTCTGTGAGCTGATTTATCAAACTGCTGGTAAAATCTGAACTGACTGAGACAACATGCAGTTTTGTTGTTGTAGCTCCTGCAGAGAAGATGGTTTAGCACAGCGTCTGTCGGGTCATTGGGCTTCATGTGGATGTGTATTTAGCTGCGTATTTCTGACCTGTGTGAGCAGAAACTGTGTCAGCAGTCTTCAAGGTTCTTTGTAGGTAGTCTGTGTTACATTTGTCCCTAATGTTTTGGTTGTGTGTTTATTTAAATACAGCTTTGGAGAGCCTTGGGGAGAGCCTTGGTTTTAAAGCTTCTCCCTAGAGTATAAACTCTTACGACAGGAAGGACCATCTCTCTGGTCTTTTACTGTCTTCATAAATTTAGCAGCATGGAGTCGTGACTTCTTCTGGGGTTGAAAGTTTAAACTTTGCTACAAAAAACATTTTGTTTTCTCTCAGGACCATCGGTTCATGCAAATGTTCCAAGTTCTGGTGAATTTTAAGGGTTCTTGAATGTGACCCTCACAAGTCAAAAGGTCAAAACTTGATATTTTCTACTTGGCTGCAACAATATAATGAAAGTTATGCTCAACAATAGGCTCTAAATTCACAAAAGAACTAATCAGATGAAGTAAAAAAGAGGATGGGAAAAAGACTTGTCCCAATGTTAGAATGTTTATCTTAGCAAATATACAATAAAAGTTGGAACCTTTATTACTTAAAATTTACATGGTACTACAATGACTAAAGCAAAAGCAGCTCTCAAAGCAAAAGATAAAGAAGTTAATCAGAAGAAAATGTACCAACTACAGCCAGAAAACCGTTGAATCCTATATTTAATGGTTGGGTTTTAAAAACAGATTTTGCTTTTGCCTTCTTAATTTACACTCACAAGTTTGTGTTGAGAATGAGTCTCAGGTGTACCACCACACCAAATTTTAGCTTGATATCTGTAAAATTGCCTGAGTTGTAGCCTTTTTCGTGTTTGTTAAAGTCAGTTAGCTGTGGCGACCATCTTAAACTGGATTGACCCCAGAAGTTAAGCATTTGTTGATGTCTGTCTAAAGATTACTTTAGTAACTTCTGAACAACTTCAACATGTCCTGAAAATTTGTTCATAACTTTTTGAGTAACTTTGTGCACAGGCAAACAAACAAACCAACCAATACTACCAATAACGTAGCCCCTTAATAACTCTGCTTCTGATATGCTGATTTAAAAACTTAGTGTTGAACTGTAAATTTTGTGTCCAGCCTCTAAACCATGATAGTTAACAGTCTTAAATTTTAGTTGTAAAAATGTTTGCGGGGGCAATGCCACAAAAACTCAAAACTAATACTTTCCTTTTGTAAAAAAAAAAAAAAAAAAAAAAAAAAAAAAAAGGCACGAGTACAAGATTACCTTGTTAAGCTTTCAAAAAAACATGCTTGACAAAGACACAAAAAGCAGCAACAATGTGCTTTGAAGACAACAAACAGGCAAGAAAAAAAAAGAAAAAATGTGATTGGATTTGAAATGTATCAATGCACAGGATACATTTCAATCCACCAGGGTTACCTTTCCTGTTACTAACTGATGCACACGCAGGATGTTCAGGCTCCTGCATTTGTTCAGGTAGGAGGTGGCACTCTACTGGGAGGCGCCCATTTTCCAGGGATGCCCAGCAGCTGTCCTGCAGGACAAAGCAAAAGCTGCGGCAGGGAAACTGAACGGGCACAGAAGGCGAAGTGCACCTGGGTGCCAGCAGGAGGCAAAGGAACCACTCCGTGCTGTGGTGACAACCTGCCCTCACAAGCCTTGCCCACTCCTTTAGGGCGGCCCCCACCTCCTCCACGGATGTATGGTTGAAAACGTTGGGCAGTGTAAAAAACCTCAACTGCTTGCAAATGGGCCAATCAGATGGGACGGGGAGACAAGGTGATGCTGTAGTCCCATTATTTACGGAAATGTTTAAATCAGACCTTGACCAATTCCCTTCCCTGATCTCAGACCCCGGATCCACCCTCTCCCCTCCCAACCTGCCTGTTTGATCCATGGTGTTTGGTTTAGTGGTCTCCACCTTCTGACTCAAGCCTTCATTGGTGGTCCAGGCAGTCATGGATGTACTCTGATCCTCCACAAATTTACGGAATTCCGTGGACACATTCATAATGTCCTTAGTGACCTTAGTTCTGTTGTCCACCTTCACTGTCTCTATTGTTACACCACCAGGTGTAGTGGCAATCTCTGTGGGTCTAACTGTAGTGGGATCTGGTTTTAGGGAAACCAAGGAGGCGTCCAGGCTCATGTTTTGTTCAGCATCATTCACCTTCTGAAGCAACCCTTCGTTACGGGTCCAGGCAGTTGTGGCTGAGTTCCAGTCCACCAAATCCTTATGGATTTCTGTGGCCACATTGATGATTTTCTCACCGACCTTAGTTCTGTTGTCATCCTCCACAACCATCTCCATCATTACATCATTGTTTGTAGCTGCAGTTTCTGTGGGTGTCACTGTTATTGCATCTGGCTCTTGGGAAACCAGGGAGGCCTCCAGGTTCATGTTTGGTTTAGCGGTCTCCACCTTCTGAGTCAAGCTTTTGTTAGTGGTCCAGGAGGTCGTGGTTGTCTGCCAATCCTTCATATTCTTATGGATTTCTGTGGCTACACTAATATTTTTCTCACCGACCTTGGTTCTGTTGTCATCCTCCATAACCGTCTCCATCGTTACACCAGTGTTTGTAGCGCCATTTTCTGTAGGTGTCACTGTTATTAGATCTAGTTCTTGGGAAACCAGGGAGTCCTCTAGGTTCATGTTTGGTTTAGCAGTCTCCACTATCTGAGTCAAACCTTCGTTAGTGGTCCAAGTGGTCGTAGTTGTGCTCTCATCCGTCATAAAGTTATATATTCCTGTGGCCACAGTGATATTTGTTTCACCAATCTTAGTTCTGTTGTCATCCTCTAGCACAGTCTCCATTGTTACACCACCAGCTGAAGGAGTATCCTCTTTATGTGTCACTGTTGTGGAATCTGGTTCTTGGGGAACTAAGGAGACTTCCAGGTCCATGTTTGGTTTAGCAGTGTCCACCTTCTGAGTTGAGCCTTCATTAGTGGTCCAGGAGGTCGTGGTTGGGCTCCAATCTTCAACAAACTTGTGGATTTCCATGGACACATTGATAATTTCCTCACTGACCTTAGTTTTGTTGCCATCCTTCTTCACAGTCACCATCGTTACACCAGCGGCTGTAGGAGCAGTTTCTGTGAGTGTTTCTGTTGCGGAATCTGGTTCTTGGGAATCCAAGGAGCCCTCTAGGTTTATGTTTGATTTAACTGTCTCCATCTTCTGACTCAAGCCTTCGTTAGTGGTCGAGGCAGTCATGATCGCACTCCAATCCTCCACAATCTCACGGATTTCCGTGGCCACGTTGATAATTTCCTCACCAACCTTGGTTAAGTTGTCATCTTCCTGCACTTTCCCCATTGCTACACCACTGGCTGTGGTGGCATTCTCTGTAGGTGTCACTGTTGTTGGATCTGGTCCTGGAGAAACCAAGAAGGCCTCCAGGTTCTTGGCATAGAGAATCAGAAGAAGTGACCACATCTGGCTCTTCAACATGATGACGGTTCCTTTAAAACCTGAACTGTCAGTCAGCTGGTTTTCAGACAACTCAAAGTTGTTCAAAAACCACTGAACATCCACTGAATGAGACACAAACTGCCTCCCTTCTCAGCTCTGACTGCACTGAGGGGGAGACCCAATGAAGGAGGCAGGGTTCAGATATGACTCTGATTACTCCAGAGTTGCCCCAACACACCAGAACTCCTCCTCCGCTGGATGACTTGACAAGTGGCTCCCCAAAGACCTTGTGTGCAGCGTGAAGAAAAAATGTTTCTGTTCCCACAAACACAAACCATCCTGAGAAATACCCAATTATAAATAAATAAAATGGATCTAACTAAGATTTACATTTTAGGAATTGAAACAAAAATTCACCAAAAAGCAGAAGAATTGAAATAAATTAATTGTTCAAAAGACAAAGCTTAATGTGTTCAATTTAGACTATAAATAAGAAAAAAAACTCAATTCTACTTACTTTAATGCTGTGAAATTGTTTAGCTTAGCCCTAAATTGATTCTGCTTTAAGCAATTAATTTTTACTTGAATGTCATGAATCTAAAAAAGTATTTCTTTTGCTCCAGAAAAGTATGATTTTAAAACATCCAAAATGGATTGTTTAGTAACAACAAAGGCAAAAGTCTGTTCTTTAAAAATTTTACAGTTTTGGCTCAATAAATTAATAATCTTTTAAACAGAGGCCTAAGTAATAGTAGAAAATGTTAGTATTTCTACTTCCATATGTGAAAGGAATTAACTAAAGTTTGGGAAGCAGTATAATAAACTGTCCTACAGCAACAATAAACTATTATTCATAAGAAAAGCCCAAAAAATAATAATCTAAAGAAATCAACATTCTTCTATAAAGCCAAATTTAAAATAATTGAAAATTCACAAAATGGCTGACAATTGGGTATATAATGTAAAAAGACCAAATATTAAAATAGATGTTTCTGCTGCCGAGCGTTGCTCATTCAGGTCTCATACTTGCTGATATCACTCTTAAAGCAGACAAAAACAGAGTGTGGAAATTAAGAAACAGGTGCTGAGAGAAAACTATTAGATTGTGTTAAAACCATTACCTAATTTCCCTCTGGGATCAATAAAGTATTTTTGAATTGAATTGAATTGAATTGAATTGAATTGAAAGATATCAGAACGTTCAGTCATGTAAAGTACAACTGTCTATGACCAGTTTAAACTGAATGACATTTCTGCTATGAAGTCTGTCAGAGCTCAAAGGATTTAGTTTTTCTTGTTTATTTCCCAAAATTCCCTCTAGGAACAGTGGGAATTTTCTTTTTGCCATTTCTTACAAATTTTGATACCAAAAGAGACAGCACCCTGTTTCTAAACAAGCTGCATCTTTAGATTTATGAGCTTTTCAAAAACTGGGGGCGATATTTTAAACTCAGAAAAGACTAATAATAATAATAATAATAATAAGAGTTCTTCAATACTTTTGCGTTTGCAGTTTTAAAATAATACATCTTAGATTTGCTTTTACTGGCATGGATTTAGGTGCTTCTTTCACCAATAAGACGACTCTTGAGTAGTGGGCAAAAATGTTTAGATAATGAAGACAGCAGCTGACAAATTAGATTGGAGCTGTGATGACATGACATGACCTCCAGCAGCAGAAGAAATGCCAACATTTCCTCAAAACAGAATAGACAGAATGTGATATTTGTTTCACAGACACGCTGGGAGTTTTATTCAGTTTTACTTGTTTTCTAAATCATCAATTGTTTAAAAAGAAAGAGCCACAATGTTAATTTTGTAAAACATGGAATAAACACAGCTAGGGAGGAGCAGCAGCAGAGGTGACAGAAAGAAGGACAAATGAGAAACAGCAGCTGAAGAGGAGGAGGAGGAGGAGGAGGAAGAGGGTATCTCACGCTGAAAATCCTCAGAAATTGTATCGCTTCCAGGTTCTCACAGACCGGCGATAAGGAATGGAGGAATCCTCTTGCCGCCTCCTCCTCCTCCCTCATTACATGGCCCATCTCGTCTACCAAGCTGGTACGTCCAGCTGTTACAAATTCCAGCTCCCAGACCTCCCACACTCATTGTGCACGACACATTAGTCCACACAAAATTGCTGCCATCAGAGCGATTTGCCAAATGCTCTCATACAGAGGAGTGACTGGAAAAAAGGGGACATTTTATTATGATCTGCTCATTCGAAATGAATAACCAAATTCTGTTCAAATCTTCTGCAGCTGTTGTTACAATATGTGATGATGTACAGAATCACAAGTCCAAGTGTGAACAGTGTCACAGAGTGTAAACACAAAACTATGCATTATCTGCAGCTTTGTTCACTAAAATGGCACCATTGATGTAGTAAAAATATACATACAGTAGGCACACTTCATGATATTGTAGACCATTAGGGAATACATTAAGCAAGTACTTTTACTTTTAATACTTTAAGTATTTTTAAAAGCAAGTACTTACTTACTTTTACTCAAGTAAAATGTTAATGTGGTACTTTTACTAGAGTACATTCTTGTCTGTTTATCTGTAGTTTTACTTAAGTACAGTGTTTGAGTACTTTCTCCACCACTGCATGATTGTCCAGCTTTAAAGACAGCTTGATAAATATAAATGAACATTATGTTTATAAACCAAATAACTAAGGAAGTACACAAACAGATAGAAGTAAAACACACAAATTAAATGAAATGAGAAAAGGTATCCTTCCTGCAGGAGGCAATGACATTGTTAAAGATCTTACATATGCTTACAAGCGTCTATCATTTCAACAGTTTCTAAACTGTATAAAGCAGAGGTGCTCAACCTTTTCTGAACCAAGAGCTACTTTTGAAGTCGGCAGTTTGCCGAGATCTACTCGTCCAGTCTCAGTATCAAAAAACATATTTTTTCGTCTCCCTACTCCTCACTTCTTTAAAGTAAATAAAACAGAAAGTAATGTGTTGCTAGTTTTATTTAAATGTATCATATCATGCTTTTAAATCCTTCTTTTTCACGTCTAAATCATTCACTTATGGTCTATTTAAAAATAAAACTGCAACGCTTTGGTCTTAATTCCTGGTTTTTGTTGCTCCACAGACTCCTTGCTTTCCTTGCTTTACCCCTGTTCTGAGTTGCGCCTCAGAGCAAGCTGTTTTGGTGCGGTCTCTTTAAATGCAAGTGAGATAAAAAAAAAAGAAAAAAAAATTGTATAGGTCTTCTGGACGGGTTCTTCTCTAATGAAACGTTTCGTCTCTCTTCCAAGAGACTTCTTCAGTCTGAGAGTTTCAGGCAAAATTCAGGCTTTTAAGCACTGCTTCCATGTGACTGATACTCACATCACATGGCTATCGTTGACACCTAATTAACACCTATTGTTAGATTGAATCTTAGGTGGTTCCTGTAGTCTGCCTTCTTTCTTGCTGTTTGCTCAAACTCTCTAACTAGTTTCAGGCAATCCTGGCCAAAATGGTTCAAAATGTCTTGATGCATCTCAGTAATCCAGGTAAAAAAAAATCAAAAAGAACACGGACATGAATTCGGACACATCCATCCATCCTGGTGGACAACTGCACATCTTTATACCAGCCACAATCTCACTTTTGTTTTTGAAATCACGGAAAAGCACATCTGCAGAATCAAACGCTTCTTTCATAACTTCGTCATCGCTGAAAGGTCTGCCTTGAGTTAGGTACGGGGCTGCATTAGCATAGCAGCCTTACCTTAGGAGGGGAAATCCATCTCGTAGCGTCTGTGCATTCTTTTGAAAGAAATGCTGTTCCACGTTATCGTTTTTGAACAAGCCAAGGCAGCGCTCGAATTACATGAGTCCTCTTCCCAATCCAGGTGAAAATGATAAGTTTTTATTTGCTTGTTAGCTGTCTTTCGTTCATCTTTTTTTTTTCCGCCTCGCTGCCATGTTTTAACACGACCCTAATCTCGCAAGACCATGTTCAGAGTGCTGTTTCACAGCACCCAAAACTAGCGAGACTGGAGCGCGTTCAAGAACGCAATGTTAAACAAACGTTGTAAAGAGTGCGTTGAAGACTGCAATGTTAATCAAATGTTGCGAAGAGCGAGTTTAAGGCTGCAATGTTAAACAATGTTCTACAAGCTCCGTGATCCATTGCTCCGTGAGCTACTGCTAACCAGCTAAAGATCTACCGGTAGATCCCGATCTACTGGTTGGCCTGGCCTGGTATAAAGTGTTGAAAAACTGTGTAAACTGCAATAATTGGTTGGCTCAAATATTTGCATTTATGCATTTTGTCAGCATCAGTCTGATAAACAAGATGGACCAGAGAAACCACATCAAATCGTAACCATTTGGTCAGGGGAGAAAATGTTGGACAACTGTGTCTAATAAGTGGGAGGACGTTAGAGGTGTAAGAAAATATTGACAGACTGAAATATTGCAATATTTCATTTCCTGATAATTGTCTTGATTCTCAAAAGCACTGTATCAATTTTTTATTAAGGCTTAATGGATGGATGTTGTGGACAACCCCTGCTTAGCACAGAAGTCCAATAACAGAACACCATTCAGGTTCAGATCAGGGAGGCCGTACCTCCCAATCACCTGCTTCCAGATAATTCTGCCCACCAGAGCATTCAGGCACCCAGCAGAAGAAGGGAATCCCCAAATGGCGCTCCTTCCAGGACCCTTTCTAATTTGAACTGATGTTTGGTGCATAAGCACAAACAACAGTCCGAACCTTTCCTCCTGCACCACAAAGTCGCAGAGAGGCAATCCTGTCTTTCAGAGGGGAGATTCAGTCATTGAATGACCTATTCTGCAAAATCTGATAATCACCCATTTACTCAAATCAGGTGTGTTGGAGTAGAGAAACAAGTAAAACATGCAGGGCTGCAGCCCTCGAGGACCAGAATTGTCCACCCTTGGTCTATTCAATTCAATTCAGTTTATTTATACAGCAGCAGGTCACAACAAATGTTGTCTCACGGCACTGTACATAAAAAAACAACAATCAATCTAAGGAAGCCAGTAGATTGCATTCAGTCTTCACTGTATCAGTCTCCCATCCGACTCTAGAGCCCTAAAACATGAAATTTAGCTCTAAAGCAGAAAATGTGGTGAAAAATATACATTAGCTTTTCATAACATAAGATTTTATGCTCATTCTTAGCAATTAAATA